GTTCATCTGAGGCCTCTAAAAACTTGTCTTTTGCACCCAAAGATTCATTTTTCTCACAGTCCTCTCCTCCCTTTTGACCTTCAGAAAGGTCAAATTCCAGGACAGACTGGAGAACTGGATTGAGCCTTACACTCTTCTGGAGGCAATTGTTAAAAAGGCCCATTAAGCATTGTCCAGTACACAGTAATAGGATTACTACAGCCAGAAAAGCTAGGCATCCTAATGCTAAATTTCTCAGCCACCCAGTTCCAGGCAACCAAGAGGTGAGCCAATTCCACAGATTACTGGGGGCTTGTTCAGTGATATGTTTTGCCAGATCCTTTAAATCTTGCACAGTGGCTTTTACACGCAAGGAATTGTCTGTCAGGTTAAAGCAGCACATACCTGGAAATTCCTCATACCCATGGGCCATTTTGAATAGCATAAAATCAATGGCCAATCTATTCTGTAAAATTGCTGTTCTTAATTGTTCCTGCTCTTCATTTAGGAGAGCTATAGCATTTGAAGACTTGTTGATGTTTTTTATAACTAAACAGGCCAATTTTCTGAGATCTAGGTAAACACGGCTTGCTAGACCTGGTATTCCAATTATAGATATAGCAAGCCCATAAACATCTTTGGTGTTCAACAGCCCTATGTGGTCATCACAGGTAGTGTCAAGTGGGGGCCCCTCTATTCGATATCTGCGCACTTGCCTGGGCTTATGATGAGAGTAATTTTGAACAAGTGGTACTGCATGAAATGAAGTTAAACGCCCAACTGTACAGGGGCCTCCCAAGGATTGTGCTGGGAAGTATGAAAAGGCATAGTTTCCACACAATAGATACCAGCCCTTTGGTAAGTAGTGAGAAACTCTTACAGAGGTGAGCTGTATTACCCCTGAGCATTTTTCAAGAGCTGGTAGGGAAAGACATGTCTTTTTGTTTTCACAGCCAACTACTTGCACACAGTTGGTCCCTGGCAAATTGCCCTTGGTTTCTACCCTGTATAATGCTTGGTTGGTCCACTGGTGTTTGGTGGTTGTGGACTGATAGTACAGGAGGGTTTTCCCTATGTAATCAAGGGTAAGTGGGTTATGTGTAGGGAGTGATGCAGCAATGGTATGGAGCACGTTTAGAAACAGGTCAGATACTCCTATAAAACATGTTCTAAGCACAGAATCCCAGTTGGTTCCCTCAAGAGCACAGAAAGGTTCACCAGGAGGGATTACTGAATGAACTAAAGTCAGATAGGAATTGCTAGTAGGCAACCAATCTAGTGGGTATTGCATCTTATATCCTGGCATTTGTAGATAGATCACACTGGCTATAATAAAAGTAAATAGAGCCATAGTTTTGCTGTGAGGCAGAAAGTAAAGAAAAAGAAACACAGTAAACAGTAAACAATTTAAGTGACTGCAGGAGCCCAAGTATTAATATTAAACTAGCAACAAGAGTCCATTTAAAACTTATCTTCAGAGCTCTTCAGGGTTTCGTAGTCAAAACTTCACCCTTCTTCTTTCTTCTTTAATCTGTTTGTTTCCTGGGAGCTTTGAACACAGTCCTTGGTAGTGCTTGCTTCTGGGGCTGGAGCTGGAGCGCGCCTGAGATGACTTAAGTGAACCCACGAGGTCAGACCTTCAAGCTTTGCTCTGCTGTGAGCTACTAACAGCACTTGGTACAGGCCTTTCCACCTTGGAGAGAGACAGTCTTTCCTTTGATGCACTTTTCGATACACCCAGTCTCCTGCTTACAATTGGTCAAATGGTTCAGTTTCAGGTAGCCCGCTCTGATTACGATGTTGTCTGACTCGCTCTTGGGTTTGGCACTGCTCCTGTTGAAAAGATTGTATAGCACGTAAGTAACTTGACCATGGGTTAGGGTGAACACCTTCTGGAATGGGGATTGAGCAAAGGCCCAGAGGCATTGGTCCCCCATATACAATTTCATAGGGAGACAGTTTCAGTTCCTTTAGGGGTGAGCTTCTGATGGCCAAAAGTGCCATGGGGAGTACATCTACCCATCCCCAACCAATTGCTTCTACTAGTTTGGCCAAGGATGCCTGTGGCCTGTAGGCACAGTAATATTTTAGCTCTATTCCCAGGGCTGTACCCATTAACTGGATGACTTGATTTACAAAATGTTTCCCTCTATCTGAGTAAATGACTGCTGATACACCCCATTTTGGCACCAGTTCAGTTAACAAACATCTGGCCACTGCACTGGCATCTGCTTTTCTGATAGCAAATGCTTCTACATAATTACTGAAGGTTCATATTACAATCAATAGGTGCTTCTCCTGTTTACACGGAGGCATGTCAGCAAATTCAATCTGTATCATTTGGAAAGGATACTGCCCTCTAGGCAGTTGAGAAGGATGTGGCCTCAGTCCTCTCCCCTTAGAATGGGCCAGGCAAACTGCACAGTTGCCAGATATCTTCTGTGCTTCTGCATTAATTCCTTCGCCTGCCCAATGTTGCTTAAATCTCTGAGCTAACGCTTCTGCTCCTTCATGACCTTGATCATGTAGCGACTTCAAAATGTGTTTAACTGCCATCCTGGGAATGATTACTTTCCCTTTTAATTTCTAGACTCCTTCTTCCTCCTTTGCTGCTGTTTCCATTTCTCTTTCTCCTGGTTAGTGGCATATTCCTGCACCCAAGCTGCATCTACAGGTACAGTGCAGGGTAACAATTGCAAAAATTTCTGCTCTGACTGTGGTTTGAGAGCGGCTTTCTTTGCTGCCCCATCAGCCAACTCATTGCCTTTAACTCCTGAATGTGCTTTAACCTTGACTATTGCTAAAGCTTTCGGGTTCTGGATGAGATCTAAAATAGCACAGATTAACGGGCCATGTTTAATCTCTGTTCCAGTGCTTGTTAGGAATCCCCTGTTTTTCCATAGTTGACCATAATCTTGAGCCCCATGCATTTCTTGAATCAGTATAGATGTTAGCTGATTGTGTCCCTACATAAGACAAGGCTTGATGTAAGGCTACTAGTTCTGTTACTTGAGCTGAAACGGGGGGTCAATGCTGTCGGCTTCTATAACAGAATGTTCTGTGGTGATGCAGGCATACCTAAATAAGCAATAGTTCTCAAGTTACTCTCTGCCCCTCTGTTATCT